AAGTCAGAGAAAAATTAGATTTAAATCAAGTAAAAGTCAAAGTATATTTTACCTGTGGGTATTTCCGGTGCTGTTACTTCCTTGGCATTCATCGAATGTGCTGCTGAGCCAAGAACCGAACGAATTTTCTCTAAATTTTCGTTCGAGTACATATCACCTATGAGCCATCTCGTTTTGAAGTATGGGTGAGAACATGTTGCAACCAAAGCCGGCTTACATCGCTCATCGTCGAAATCGAACAAATATCCAAACCGATCTTCAATTCCACCCAAAACTGCATTGAGTAATGGTACAGCATATTTTAGATTTTCACTTTTCATTTGCAATACATCTTGCTTCGTGTTGTGCACCACTGGTAATAATAAAGCAAAATAACACTCTGCCTGCAAACAATCTAGCGCTCTGGCTATAGGTGTCAACACTTTTATGTATTCATGGAGAAAACAAATATCAGCTGATGAAAATTCTGGAATTTCTAGAGCGGTCATGAGTTCTGCCAGCTTTGCTTGTTCTAATTGGAGTATTTTCACGATACAATCGTAGACCGAATTCCAACGTGTTGCAACTGGCCGATGAATCGACTTACCCAAAATCTCTACTATGGTTTCGGATGCTTTTGGCTTGTTGGCACAACTCCAAATACGATTGAGTTTTTTGAATGCCGATGAATGCTTATTGAAATAAGAACTGGTGGTCAATGCTTTAGCTGCATCTTTTACTCCAATCAGACTGAATGTATGTGAAGCACATCGAACATGCAGGGACAATACTGAGTCTATTTCTTTATATTCAAAGTCTTGATCGAAGCATTCGTCATCCACGAAATGCCATTCAATCGGTATACCATGCTCTCGAAATGCTTTTGCAAAATTTGATGCGTTGTCTGTTGTCGTTGCGATTACTTTCTCTGTTACTCCAAAAACATCGCAAATGGTTTTCAAATGTTCAGCGATTCGATCATTAGTGTGTGGGAATAAGAATCGTTCGCATGATAGAATGGCATAACATCGTTCATACGTCTTTGGGTCAATCCAATGTGCTGTAACACCCATGAAACTACGATGTTTACTGGACCATATATCACAAGTGATTCCAATGTGTTCGATTGCAGAAAAAATATTGATCAATTTGTTTTTTTCTGTCTCAAAAATCCCATCGATTTTCGTTTTCAAAACATGGCGTGACATAAGCTTGAAAGTTCGGCCGTACTTATCAACACGCATCCCCAATAATTCTATGGATAGAATGACATATTTTAAAATTAATTTTAAAAAATCAGCTCATTTAAAACCTACCATTGGTGTATTCGATGAAACTTTCATCTTCTACCGTTCGCAATGGGTGCATTCCCTTTATAATAAACTTCATCACAATGTCATCCAAATGTTGTTGATCTATTACAGTTCTCGTATATTTCTTGCGTTTTATCGGATTTTGTTCTTTCTTTTGTGCTAAATATTTCGAATATTCCATCATGTGTTTCCGCTATAAAGACGAAATTAGTTTTGAAAAATTTAATTTGAACAAAGACAATTGTTGTCACATTTTACCTTCAAATGTGTGATCAAGTTAGAAGAAACCTTGTGTTTTGCACTGCAAACCGTTACTGGGGAATTATTCTCATCGACACCACAAGGAACACACATTGCACGTAAGGAATCACCATTTTTTTCCAATATCTTGAAGTAATTGTACTGAAAAAGTATTGGCTCCTTTGACTTTACTGAGCACTCCGAATCCAAACCGTTCTCTTCAATATTTGAGTTTTGAATGATAATTGTGTCTTCAAGCTGATTGGAATCCAAATCAAATTCAATGCCATCCGTTGTGTCCGAGTTTGTGTTCTCGGTTGTGCCTGTGTCGCAAAAAATGGTCGAAACATCACGTGAATATGGTTCAGCTGAGTGGCTAGGCACTTGAATCTGGTTCGGTAATTGCGCATATCTCTCTTTCTCGTCGGTATATTGTATTGCATTTTGTGTATTTCCGAGAACAGGCATTAATGGCTTCGTTTGTTTGTTTTTTATTATGCTTGTGTTTACATATCGTTTTTTTTTAACCGCATTGAATCTCGACAATAGTTTACCATTACATTTTCTGATTTTGTCTCGCTTTGAGTTTGATAAAAACTTTTTTGTGTTTACGAATTTTATTCTTTGTGGCAAACCATCAAAACCGAATTCGTAGTTACTAGCCTCGCAATCTAAAACTTCTTTCTTCTTCTTCAAAATATAAATATCGTTTGCATTCTTTATCGCCGACATTTTTATGTTTATTATTTATGGACAAGAATCGAATTTCAAGAATATTTAATACGTAAAATTGTATGGAGTGTTTATGTGTACCGGCGTACTGAGATTAACGGAGTTTCACATTTGTGTATTGTGTGGTTGAATTTCGCAATGCAAGATCTGTCTGATGTTTCGTGTGTATTGTCATCAGAGCGATAGGTGGCGCCAGTAGTTCTTGATCGGCGCAATGTAATTGAATTTTTCATTTCGCAATTGCAATTATGAAATGGTTTTGACGTCTTTTTAATTACAATTTCAAATGCAATGGAAATGGAATAAAGTTTCAAATATTTTTTTCAATTAAATAATGGTAATGATTGCAAAATGCAATTCATTTCGAAAATTCGCAGCTCTGTCCGTGCAGGAATGACCGAGAAAAGTGACTTCTGGTCTGAAAAATTCGCATTTTTCGGGATTAAGTTTTAAATTGAATTTACGACAGATTTTAAAAACATTTTCCAGGTTAATGAGATGATTTTTGATAGATGTACCGATAACTATGAGATCATCCATATAAATGAATGCGTTTTCGGGGGGCAGGCCACTGAATGCCAATGCCATCATTCTTGAAAAGGAATTAGGTGCAACATTAATGCCAAATGGAAGTACTTTCCACTGGTATGCACCCCTATCGGTCGAAAAAGCGGTTATTTCTCTTGATTCGGGCTCTATCGGTGTTTGCCAAAAACCGGAGAATAAATCGAGAATTGAGAAGTGTTTTGCTCTTCCTAAACTGTCTAAGATTTCATCGATGCGTGGTAACGGGAACTTGTCCGCTATGAGATTTTTGTTGAGCATACGATAATCTACGCATATTCTCCATTTCTTTTCGCCGTTTTGGCTTTTCTTTGGAACTAAAATTAGAGGAGAATTATATGAAGATGTGCTTGGCTCTATGAGGTCATTTTCAAGAAGTTTTTTAACCTGTCTGTCGATTTCGTCTTTTTGAGTTTTTGGTAATCGATAATTTCGTACGTATACTGGACTGTCGCTTTTCATACGAAGTTTTTGAGAATAAAAATTATTTGTAGTCATTCCGTCATCCGCTAAAGCAAAAATATCAGAATAATTCATGCATAGATCAATCAGTTCATTGCGCGCGTGTGCTGGCGTTTTTGCGAAAAAATGATGTAGCTTTCGTTCTCTTTCTTTGTTTGGTTTATCGCTGTCTTGTGTGTAAATATTAAATTCATTTAGTGGTATACCGCTGATTTTGTTATTTATTACTTGATGTTCTGTGTTTGAATTTAGCACTCTAATGACAACATCTGGTTCATGAGCAATAGTGTTTGGGATAATAACACCAGTTTGTAGTTCTTGGCCCGGTATGAGACATGGACCGGAGAACTTTTCTACATGAAAAATACGATATGTTTCGCACCTTGCTGCTAAAGCAGAATAATTTTCTTTTGGTTCAGAGTGTATTTTGACATAAATATTATTTTCTGGTGCTCTAATTGTGAATTCCATGCGACCATAGTCAATTACGCAATGGAAACGACGATTGAAGTCTTTACCGATGATGCCATCGGATGGAATATTAAATTCATCGGGCACGACATGAAATTTGTGTGAAATTATTTGATTAAAGAAGAAAAAATCCAATGAAATTGTACCCAAAGATTTGATAATCTCGTCGGTGATGCCCCTGATTTTAATTATTTCAGATGTATCTAATTGTACATCGACATGAATTGAACTGAGTTTGATGATAGAAATATCGGCTTGTGAATCAATTAAATAAGTGAGTAAATCGTTTGAGATGCTACAATCAATTTGGACAAAATCGGAATAACTCAGATCGGAAAAAGTGTAGACGTTTACTAACGGTTGTTCGCTCTCTCCAGAGTGAACGTTTGATTTTGATTGTTTTGTGTTTACTTAAAATGAACCTAAATTTCCTTTTAAATATTTTTCTATTCGTTTAGTTTTTGTTCCAGTTTTGTTGTAATGCGAGCTGACCTACTGAGTTGAAAAATGGATAAATATGTCAACAAATGTTTTCGTTTTCTTTTCCGTTTAGTTTTTTTTCGTTATTTTCAATATTGCATAAAATTTTACTGACCTACCACATTGAAATATCAATACATTTATTTTATCTATCGTGGCAATTTCAAATGGTCATCTTTACTTTCTGAAGAAATGCAATAAATTTTGAGTAGAATTTCTCTCAAACGAAATAAACATGTGTTGACAAATTCATATGCAGTGTAAAAAAAAAACTTATCGTTCGTTGCTTCGTTTGCTGCTCATGCCTGTTAAGCTGGGCTGGTTCCGGATTTCACGCTGTTGTGCATTTTCGCCTGTGTTTCTTCCTTCCTTCGTTCTATCGCTCGCTATGTGTTCTTCTTCTTTTGTTTCAATAGCTGCTTTCTGGCCTCTCTTGCATTTCGTTTTTTTCACTAAATGTTCATTTTCTTTCTTTTTTTTTTTTTTATTCGTTCATTTTGTTCACCGATTTATTTTATTGAATCATATCTCACTTTTGCGTTTATGCCGTTTTTATTGTTTATGCTCGATGTTTTTGTTTTATTCACTTCATATTTTATTCAGTTTCTAACGCGTTATGGTCTCTTAATTTTTTCTCTCTCTTTCTCTCTCACAAATTTCTGCCTTGTGGTTGTGGTTGTTGCACTAATACTTGTGGCACTTGCATGACTTGCGCAGTGTACTTCTTCTTGAGTTGCTTTTGATGAATTTTATAAATTGTGATCAATAATTGGCACAGCAAAATAACGGCAATCACGATTAACACGATAAGAAGTGGATTATTTTCAACTGGTACGGCTTGTTCAAAAACGATATTATTATTTAATGCACCGGTGGTATCAACTGTTTTTTCTTCTGCATTTTTTGATGATCCGCCTCCCATTTTGATGAATGCACGATAAAAAAAAATCACGTATTTTATTTGTTTTACTGATTTAATTGCTGATTTTTTTTTTGTTAGGCGCGTTTGGATTAGATGTTTAACCGTTGGCAAAAGAGACGCTGCCGGACTCAGCCATATAATGGTATGGACAGAGTAAATGAAAGACTGTGTTGTTAGGTTGACTCCATAAAATAGAATGAGTGTTTATTCAGCATATGGTAACTCGTAACCTACGTATGTTGTTTATGTTACGCTACGTTGTGAATGTTGTTCATATGTATTTATATGCATTACATGAATAATATTTTATTCCTGTAGGTAACTTGGTCGTTTCCGATGAAATCATAGTTAGTCACACATTCCAATCCTATAGAGTGTTCTGGATAGGCTCTGTATACCTCAAATGACATTCCATTCCTTGAGAGTGTCATAGCCTATGGCTATGCTTTACCATGACATTCCATTCTCAGTGAGTGTTTTGGCATACGATCTATGCTTTATCATGGAATTCCATTCTTCACTCATTCAGTTGTCGTTCTGACTCCGGTCCGAGCAGACGTGTGCATCGCCGCTCGTCAATAGTTATTTTTTTGTCACATATCTAAGCACATATTAGTCGCTAACGCATTTACAAAACATATTTGTCTATCAAATAAGTCAGATATTTGACTAATTTTCATAGTTTTTTTTTTTAAATAAATAATCGTAAAAAGTAACTGAAAATCAGTATTCAGTGAATTTTGAAAAAAAAACGCAACGACAAAACCACAGAAACTCATCGTATGTGACCTTTGATCATTGACGCGCCAGACCGACCATGATGCCGCAGCACTAACTCACACAGGCCCACTGGTAAAATTCGCTCGCAACAACCACCAGCAAATTCATAGCCCTACCATACCAATACTAATAACCCGTCGCATCGCAAGCCAAAATCGCCAACTATCACCATATCAACAAGCACAAATACCACACCAGAACCAACGATAGCCGACGTCATCGCGCTTCTCCAGCAATGTGCGTCCAAAGGAGACATCAAAGACATCAAATCGCATTTAACCACATACAAGCGCGAAACCGACGAAAAAATCGATCAATTGAAGCAGCAAGTCGACGTTGCAACAACAACAAGCAACATCAACGCCGAGAAAATCGAAGAACTACAAATTGCAAAACAATATCTGCGTCTCCGGTGTTCCCCTCAAATTGATTGCAAAAGACAACACTGCAGACATCATCATAGCGATTTCCGGCAAGCTTGACGTCAGCCTTGCTAAAAACCAATTCACATCGTATGCAATAAGCGAAAAAAATTCATAATTGTGCGTTTTCACAACTACAAACACAAGCAACAACTACTCTTACGCATTCGCGCAAAAATGAGTCTAATGTATTTAAATGATCACCTCACACCGTAAGTCAAGTGTATTTAAATGATCACCTCACACCGTATTTCAACCATCTCTTTCTGCTTGCACGCAACGCAAAAAAAGACGGCAAAATTGCGACGGCGACATCGTATGGTGGACGAATCCGTGTGCGCAAACACATTAACGACGCACCATACACCATCACTTTCGAAAGTCAACTCCAAGCGCTCATCGATTTGGAATCAGCAAATAACACAGCCGAATCATTCCAGTCAGCCGAAATTATAAACAACAGCAGCATCAGCATCGGTTCATCACACGCATCACACGCATCGACATCATCTCTACCGAACGACGGCAACACATCCACACCCACCACACACCAACACGCACCAAACGACATCAAAGGTAAAACGAACAAACGAAACAAACCGAAGAAACCGCCAGCCACACGAAAAAATCGTCAACAAGAGCCGAACACAGCGACAGCCAAACGCAAAGCGGGGCATATGCTATCGGACAATAACAAAAAAACAAAAACAACAGCCAAATCTAAATAAGCAATGTATACATTGTCGCTCATTACACTCACACTCACACATAAATTGCTTATTCTCTTTACTAACACTACTAACGATCATTTTTAATTACATATACATTTGCCTTTACATTTACGTACACATTTAATTCACTTCTCCTTATTTTTTTTTCTTCTTCTTTTTTTTTTGTTT